TGGGAGAAGGGACTCAGCCAGGACAGCTGACCCCAAGTGACCCCTGGGACATCCCAGGCCATCCAGTGGCAGGCTCAGTGGATAAAGAGGGGACAGAAGCAGCAAGGGGAGGACATTTGGGGTGATTTGTTCTCCCTGCTGTGTGTCCTGTGGACGGCTGAGCCCCTGCCAGCCACAGGAAACAGGGAATGAATTCCTTGTTCTGCTTTGCTTGCATGTGTGGCTTTTGCTTTAATTATTAAACTGTCTTTAGCTCAGCCCATAAATTTCTTCACTTTTACCCTTTTGGTTCTGTTTCCACCTCACTGAGTGAGGAGCTGGCTGGGGTTAAACCCTGACACAAAAGAAATGGGTAGTTCCTGGCACAGAGTTCTGTGAAGGCACAACTTCAGTTTCCAATCTGAATCATAAAAAGTAACAAACTCAAGAATTTTCCATCTGAGGGTTTTGTAGCCCAAGGAAGGCAAGGATCCCTCTGAGACAGCAAATTCATCCTCTCCTACGGCCCTGTGGCTGCTGGAGGGGCAAACAGGTACAGACCAACCCGGGAGGATGCACAGGACACAGAAGGGACTGTTTCACCTACACTGACACAGTGATTTATCTGGGCTGTGGAAGCTTTGCTCTCACTGTTAAGGATGCTGGGCAGAGTCTTGTCAAACGCTATCTCTGCCCATTCCAGACGTGRCAAGCAGCAACATCTCGATCTTAAACCAGCAGCCAGCCCATAACAGCAGCGTTTGTGCTGGTGGCAGTGACCAGCAGGTTCCTGTCAGCAGCATATTCACATCCCTCAAAGCACCCTTTGTTTGGGCACACTAATGCAAAGCAGGGCTGCAAAGGAAACAGTCGTTTCCAGGTGTGAGGCTGCTATCTCTGATCCTTATCTCGTTCGCCACGATCCGGGCCGATCCTGGCTCTGGGCCACATTTGCCAGGTCTGTGTGCGGCTCACTGCTTCGGGTGGTTTTTGCTGTCCCGCTTGGAAACGGTTCTTAAATTAGAGCAGGTAAACCACAGGTTGGCAAGGGTGTGAGGCTGAGAGACTCCACGGCACCGGGTGTTTTCCCGAGGCGGGGCTGTGCTCTGGCACAGGCTGAGAGCCTCGGGGGGGTTTGGTGGCCCTGGGCAACGCTGTCACCTCCCRAGTGGCCACAGAGCGCTCAGCAGACAAAGCCCTGAAGAACGCCGCTGCTCTGATCATCCCCAAAGGCTTCCCGAGCTGCGGGGGAGGCAAAGCCCGGCGATCGCTCGGAATTGGTGCCTCCCCCGGGCTCGCAGCGACCCAGACCCGGCCCTGGCGGGTGTTCACCGACAGCCGGGCGGGGCCGGGACCGCTCCGGTGGGGATGGAGCGCCCCGACCACGGCCCGTGTGTGTGTGTGTGTGTGTGTGTGTGTGTGCGGTGAAGGGGGGTTCCACAGGGCCATCCCGATGGGGATGGAG